CCCCAAAACCCCAAAACCCCAAAACCCCGGGACGTTTAGAGCAGATTGAACTACCGACTAAGAAAACATGACAAGATAAGCCGAGTGGCTGAGGATGTAGAGGAAGAAGACCAGGAGGAAGAGGAGACGGTGTGGAGGGGTTTTAGCCGTGGAAGTGAGAAAGAGGGAAGAATGGGAGCTTTAGAGGTGGATAGAGGGGGTTTGGAGGTCGAGAGGGAATTAGTTGAGGCTTTTGAGAGTTTTAGGGGGTTCAGGTGAAGATGGTGGGATTGAGTTAAGAGAAGAATGGTGTTTAAGAGTGTGTTTAGGATGTTTAAAAGGGAGTGACCGATGTAGAGGTGATGTATATTAAAAAGAGATGGTAAAATTTAGAGACATTGTGTAATTTTTTAGTTTTAGTTTCAGAAGTGATTAAAATTTCTTGCTGTTATATCTTTGAGAAGTTTATTTGAGTTCTTTGAATTTAAAAACCGGTTTTAAATCGTGGTATTTAAGCTCTAGTTTATTTATGTTAAAGGAAGACCTTCATATCAAAAGTTTTAATAAAATTATTGATGTGTTAATTCTCTCAGTTGGAATATCCTGAAAAATTACCTAATTATATTTGATCCCAAACACCCTAAATCATAATGAATCACTTACTTTTGCTCTGAAAGTACTTTTTCTCAAATCTAAGAAGCAACAAGATGCCTAAAATTTCTAAAATAATTAGACATTTAGTCTCGTCTGCTTATCCATTCTGATCAATTCGTTTTTCTTTCTGATACAAATGCACTATTCTTACTATTATGCCCTAGCTCAGATTAGAAGTTTATAGTTGCAAAAATTTTCCTTAAAAGTGCAAGAAGTGTCTGACCACTTAAAGGATTTTCCATTCGGAAGAATTCTTAGCTGAAGAGACACGCATTCAAAATCTGAAAATGTCAGTTCTCCAAAATTTTACTAATGTGTAGAATTTTTGACAAAATTTAATTTGAAATATCAGCCTAAAAATGGTAGAAATTGTCAAGAAAGATGAAAGTTGGCCTAAATAAATATTCTGCCCCTTTAAGCTTAAAAAGAGGGCCAGAGATAGCAACAGAATTCAGAGAAACTTAAGGAAAAGTTTTAAGAATATTTATTTAGATTTAGACTAATAAGAATTAATGTTGCCTATCGTGAGAGACTATAGTAAAAAGCTTTATGCTTGAAGAAAGAATGATCAGAGCATTTATAAGCTTACATTAAGCTAAAATTTGTTGAATAATGCCACTTTAGCAATGAAGGAATAGTAGGTAATGTCAAAATTAGTCTTCTTTCTTATGGCCTTTTAGTTAAATAGTCTGAAAGTTTTCAGCAAAAATGCTCACGTGAGCATATGATAATGTTCAATTTCTTTAATAAAAATTCTGAAATTTTGAAAAAATACCTCAAAAGAATTTATCTAACCTATTAATATTTCTCCTGCTAATTTTTTAGAATTAGCTTATCGCTAAGTACTCACGTTACATTTTTATCCCATTTCAAGTAAGCCAATTTTTTTCTCTCCTAATGCCTTCGCTGAAAACTAACTCCCTCAACTAACCCTGTCACTAATACAATCTCATCCACCCAAGGGACCAACTAAAGAGCACTACAAGCTTTTCCCAGTCTTGGTCGCTACTATCCAAGAACTTTGAGCTAACTTAAAAAACATATTTTCTGAAAACTTATTATTAAAAGTTATTTAGGAGCTTTGCGAACTGACTTCTTCCTACTGTTTCTAAAACTATCCAGATCCTTTGTGCAGTGGAAGTCTATCAACATTTGAGCCATGCTTTGGAGAACTGGCATAGTCTTCCCTGGGAATTCGTTGATCACCTTTTGATAATCTACCTCTTTGTATTTATAGGTCTTGAGAATCTTCTTCAGCAATGTTGTCTCTCTGAAAGAAAACTCAGAGACTCATAAAGATTTGATACGAGAGAGAAGCTTTTCTGGGGAAGATTTCCATCCAGATCTTTCACAGAGCTGCTGAATCTCTTCACAATCTCTAGAAAATATCTCAGAACTTGGAGTAAGGAGATCATTCATGGTAATCAGCTCTTCTTTTTCCATATCTCTGATAGTTTGAAACAGAAGTTTATCTTGCTTTCTTCCCCATCTCGAACGAGAAGGTTTAGAAGTCCCAGTTGAATTTTTCTGCTTTGATTCTTTTAACTCAAAGGATTTGACAAGCTGAGTTTGAGTAATCTGGGTATTACTAAGCTCAAAGCTATCAATACCACCTTCCATTCGACCAACTTTACAGTTTCTGACTTCCTGAAATTTATATATATCGTTTTGCTTGGGTGATTCATTGAATATATTGGCTGAGATCTCAGAAAAGTTCGGTGAAAAATCTAATCTTTCAAGCTCTGGAAGTTCGGGAATATTAAGTGGGACACACTCTGGGATTTTAGGACTATCTGGGTCATCTTCTGAAAAAATGCTAAGCTATTTTCAGGTTATCTTTTGAAAAAGGAATTTTATTGAGTGAGCATTGTTAATCTCACAATTTTAATAATAGTTTTAGCATTAAGATTCACAAATTTTTTATTTTCTGGAATATTTAATCAATGGGGCTTGTGAGTCAATGCGGAAGTGTTTTGTGGGACAATTCAATAATTGATTCTCAATTTTATTTATATATCATAATAAAAAGCAACTTAATTTGCTTTAAATGTGTCCTAAGAACATTATAAATCCAAACAAATACAATAAATGTCTCCTCTAAAATCAAAATCTAGCTAGAAGGACAAGGCCAATAGTCTAAATCCCCTAAAAACTACTCCTCTTTCTCTATACCCACCTTAAAACAACCACCCAATCTCTCTGCACCCAAATATCACCTAAATCCTAAACCTCTATTAACCTTACTTAATCCCTAGTCCAACCCTAAATCCCTTCTCAAGAAGAACACCCACCTGTGTCTGTTGGCCAATCAGAGTCTGCTCTTGAGCATCAGTTTCAATAAAGTGGTTACTAAAACCAAACATGGATAAGATAATTTGTAAGAAATATTAGTATATCTTTTCAGTTTGGTTTCTCTCTTATGGGGTTTTGGGGTTTTGGGGTTTTGGGGTTTTGGGG